AGCACTTCAAAGCTTTAAGCTCATTCATCATTCTCCAGCTCTCTGCATGTTCACATTAAGCATGTATAATCTTTCGCCGAAGTCAGATTCAAACAAGGACTAGCCGAGGTCCTTAACCTTGGTTTCTCGGTTAATGCACTTAGTTCCATTCCAAGTTTAATTCTGCCGACATAGCAATTCTAATTTTAATTCAACTTCGTTCAACTCTATTATATGCAAGTATAATTCAACTCTGCCATACAATAAGTCTAAGTTATTCGTCAGGTTTCAATCGAAAATATCGCCAACTTAGTTCAACTTTATTAGATGCAAGTATAATTCAACTCTGTCACATAACAAGTCGAAGTTATTCGTCATGTTTCAATCAAAAACATCGCTCTATTATATGCAAGTATAATTCAACTCTGTCATATAACAAGTCTAAGTTATTCGTCATGTTTTAATCAGAAACATCACCAAAGGACTGGTTAGTCTTATCACACAAATTTCACATTCTTAAAAAATCAGGTTAAAACATTTTATTACTACCTTGGCTAAGAAAATTATGACATAAATTTTGAAAAACAAAAAAGTCTAATGATAGAAAAACTTTAAGTTGCAAGTGTTCTAGGGTCTTGGCAACTCTTTGCCTTCACTGTCTTTAAGCCGATATGCCCCATTTCCGGCGACCGAAATGATTCTATAAGGGCCTTCCCAATTTGGGCCCAGCTTTTCCTCCCTAGGATCTTTCTTGTTGCCGACCACTTTCCTTAGTACCAGGTCCCCAACTTTGAACTCTCTTGGGTTGACCTTTTTATTATAAGCCCTAGCAAGTTGTTCCCAGTATGCGCCCAGTCGAATTACTACTCTCTCCATTTTCTCCTCAAGTAGGTCTAGATCTCAGGCTAAGAATGCCTCGTTAGTCCCATTCTCTACTCCTTGGGTTCTGATCCCTGGGATGCTGACTTCCAGTGGGATAACTGCTTCTGTGCCATAAGCCATGGCAAATGGGGATTCCCCAGTTAATCTTCTCGGCGTAGTTCGATATGCCCAGAGTACATTAGGAAACTTTTCCACCCATTTTTCCTTTGCTGCCTCCAGTATCTTCTTGATCCCATCCAAGATAGTCTTATTGGATGCTTCTGCCTAACTATTACTTTAAGGGAAACTTAGAGTGGAGTAATAGTTCTTGATTTTGTACTTTGCACAGAAGCTTTTGATTAGCTTACTGTCAAATTATGTACTATTGTCCTCTATTATTGCCCTAGGGATCCCAAACCTGGTGATGAAGTTCTTCTATATGAAGTTCTTCACATCAATGTCCCGAATGTTCGCGAGGGGTTCAGCTTCTGCCCATTTTGTGAAATAGTCAGTTGCTAAAAGTAAGAACTTTCTTTGTCCCGTTGCTTGGGGTAGTTGTCCAGCAAGATCCATGCCCCATTGGGCAAATGACGAAGGGCTGGATACTAGATTCAAGTCTGCTGCTGGTTGATGTATTAAATGCACAAACCTCTGACACTTCTCACATTTTCTAACATAGGCTTCAACATCCTTCTGCATGTAGGGCCACCAGTACCCTTGAGTAATGGCCCTATGAGCAAGTGATCTGCTCCCAGCGTGGCTTCCACATACTCCTTTATGTATTTCATACAAGAAGTCTTTAACTTGTAAAGGATGCACACATCTTAAAAAGGGACCGGTAAAAGACCTTCTGTAGAGATCTCCTTCTGCTGTCAGACTAAACCTAGCCGAATTCAGTCTAGTCTTGTTTGTTTCCTTGTGATCATCTGGCAGCTTCCCATCTCTAAGGAACATTAATATTGCATCCATCCAACTCGGTCTCATCTCCACACATATTGCTTTGTACTCTGTGATCAGTGGTTCCACACTTGGGCCTAACAAATAATCAACCATTATTGTCCTTGCATTCTCTGATTTCATTGCACTAGCCAAGTTAGCAAAGGCATCGACATGGCTGTTGTCATCTCGACTAACCTGCTGTAATCTGCAGTCCTGAAACAAGGCTAGTAGTTTAACAACCACTTTGACATAGACTATCATTCTTTTATCTCGAGCTGCATACTCGTCTATTGCTTGGTTCACAATAAGCTGGGAGTCACAAAAGACCACCACCTCGTCGACTTCCATTGTTGCTGCCAACTTCAATCCCTTGATCAGTGCTTCATATTTTGCTTTATTGTTTGAGGCTTTAAACCCTAGTTGAATAGATTGTTCTAGCATTCGCCCATCTGACGATACTAGTACTACTCCTGCTCCCACTCCTTAACGGTTTGAACTCCCGTAAACAAACAGGCGGAAGGAGTTGCCGATGTAAATGTCGTAGGGCTTGAGTCTCTCTTCTTTCTTTTGCTCTGATGTGGGGTTTTTCATTCCCAGCTGGGTCTCTTCTTGTTCTCCTGGACATCCTAACCCACGACTCACTGGAGCCCAATGTGGGATGGCACCAGGTGTGAACTCAGCCATAAAATCGGCTAGAACCTAGCCTTTGATTTCTATTCTGGGTATGAACTCTAAATTGTATTAGCCCAATACCACTATCCACCTAGCCACCCTGCCTGTTAGATCTCCTTGCTGTAGTAGGGACTTCAAAGGGTGCTTAGTCAATACCACAATTTTGTGGGCTTGAAAATAATGGTTCAACTTCTTGGAGGCCAACATTAAGGCCAATGTTAATTTCTCCAAGGGTAAATACTTGGTCTCTGCGCCCGCTAGGGTTTTACTCACATAGTATATTGCCCTTTGTTCTATATTCTCTTCTCTAATTATTATTGCACTCACTGCATGCTCTGAAACCACCAAGTACAAGAATAGCTCCTCTCCAAGTACTGGATTCGAGAGAACTGGAGCTATGGTCAGGTATTTTTTCAAGTCAGCCAAGGCGACTTCACATTCCTCTGTCCACAAGAAGTCCGTGGCCTTTTTTAACAGGTTGAAAAATGGTTTACACTCATATGAACTTCTGCTTATGAATCTGTTCAGGGTTATGGCCTCTCCTGTCAACATCTGCACTTGTTTTGCTGACTCTAGGCTTTTCAAATCCAAGATGGCCTTGATTTGATCTGGGCTTGCCTTAATGCCCCTTCTGGTAACCAAGTACCCTAAGAACTTACCAGACCCAACTCCAAATGCACATTTTGAAGCATTGAGTCGGAGTCGATATGTTTTTAAGATGTCAAAGATTGCCTTCAAATCGACCAAATGCTCCTCAGGTTCCTTGGTCTTCACGACAATGTTGTTGATGTATACTTTCATTGTTTTTCCAATCTAATGTCTGAACATCTTGGTCACTAACCTCTGGTACGTTGCTCTTGCATTTTTAACCTAAAAGGCATCACTCTGTAGCAATACAGCCCTTTTGAGGTGATAAATGTAGTCTTCTGTTCATCAGGAGGGTACATTGTTATCTGATGGTATCCCCTATAAGCGTCCAGGAAGCTCATCATTCCATGTCCTGAAGTGGCATCGACTAATTAATCGATCTTGGGGAGTGGGAAACTATCTTTGGGACATGCCTTATTCAGGTTAGTAAAGTCCATGCAGACCCTCCATTTCTCATCCTTCTTTTTCACAACCAGAGTGTTGGACAGGTAGGCAGGGTAGTTTACCTCTCGAATGGCTCTGGCCTCTAATAATTTATCCACTTCCTCCTCTACTGCCTCCACATGAACCAACGTCGGCCTCCTCACTCGCTAAATGACGGGTTTTGCCGACTTCTCTACATCCAGTTTGTGGCATGTGACATCGGGGTCAATGCCAGGCATCTCGTATGGCATCTAGGCAAACACCTCTATGTTTGCTCAGAAGAACGCTTCTAACTCTCTTTCCTCTTTCTCGGCCAAGCCTAAGTCGAAGAGGAAGAAGCACTCTTCATTCCTTTACTGGATTAGAATTTTCTTCAAGGCTTCCTCACTTTTGTCAGCAAGATCTTTGCCGATGTTATCTAGGACCTGTATGTCCTTGTCCTTGATCTTTACTATTTCTGCCTCTCGTACGTTGCAGGTGGATTTCATTGCTGCCATGGAGCAATTCTTTGCCTGCACCTAACCCCCCCTAACCTCCTCAAATCCATGCTCTGTTGGGAACCACAATAGCTGGTGCAGTGTTGAGGGAACAACCATCATTGCGTGCAACCATGGCCTTTCTAAGATAGCGTTGTAAAGAGAGGGGGTGCCAATTACTATGAACTTCATGCTTACCTTCTTGGTGCCTGTCTGTACCTTCAAACTTATTGCTTCCAAGGGCCATATCGGCGTTCCGTTAAACCCGACCATTGGATTGTTGAACTGCTTTAGATCATTTTGGTGAAGGTCGAGCTCCTTGTAACATCTGACGTACATGATGTCACAAGAGCTGCCTTGGTCAACCAGCATGCGCATTACCCGGCACTCTACAATCTTAAGGGATATTACCAGAGCATCGTTGTGTGGATGCTGTACCATGTCTAGGTTGGCTTCAGTAAAGGACACTATTGGCCCTTGGTACTCGTCTGCCCTAGGCCTCTTTTGCTGGACCTAATACACATGCTGTAAGTGTTTCACCCTCTGAGTCTCCCCATATACCTCATTCTCATTTACCTTCGAGTGAATCACATTGATCACTCGAGGTCCATCTGCTTGCGGTTGTGGTGTTGGTGGAGGTGGTGCTGGTGGTGCCTAGGCCAGCCTCGCTTGCTCTTCCCTTATCCTAGCCTCATCTACTAGGTCCCTTAAGTGACCTTGTCTTACTAGATCTTCCAGATGTGTCTTTAGGGCTCTGCACCCCTGAGTCAGATGTCCATCCTCATTGTGGTAGACACAGTGCTTCCCAAGGCTTCTTTCCACAAATTTGCCAGGAATCTTCTCTGGTGCTCTATAGTAAGGCTAGTTCTTGATTCTTTCCAGGACTTTGTAAACCGGGATCCAAAACACTATGGTGACTACCTGTGCAGCCCTCAGCCTCGTTTCTTGTCTGTTAAAGTTTGTATTACCTCAGCCTCGTTTCGGTGAGCCGTTCCTCTTTTCTTATTTTGACGCCTTTGCTCCTGGCATCTCTTCCTCTGCTCTCGCATATTTCTCGATCCTGGCCATAAGTTCCTCCATGTTTTTTTGCAATGTCTTTGCCAGTGACTTTCGAAGCAGATAGTCATCGTTCAGGCCATTCTTAAAAGATACGACTGCCACCTCTTGGTTGCACCTTGGTATTTGGCTAAACATCTCATAGTACCTTTTAGCATAAGCTTTGAGGCTTTCATCCCCACCAATTCTCAAAGCCATTAGGGAGTCTACCCTCAACAGCTGTAGTTTGTTTGTAACAAACCTCACCACAAACATGATGACCAGGCCTTTCCAACTTTTCATAGTTCCTTTCGACAGCTTGTGAAACCAGTGTGATGCGATTTGCCCAAAGGATGAGGGAAACACCTTGCAGAGCAATGGCTCGTTCCCGGTATAGAGTGCCATTAAGTTCAAATACAAGCCGACGTAAAAATTAGGATTAGACTTACCGTCGTATATCTGGAATCTCGACATGTGGAACCTTTTCGAAGCCTTAAACTTGTCCAATTCTATCAAGAACGGTTTTCTCGGCTTGACTGGGGATATGACCTCGACATCTTATCACTTCCTCTGGAGGTAGTCCCTCAAATCCTACTTAGTCCGTTGACTGAGCTCGGCTGTCAATAGATTTCAGCCTTTTTGGTACGCTACTCTTGGTGTTGTTATGAGTTCTCTTGGACCTCCATCTATTCGTTGTGTCAAAACAAAACTCCTTCCTTTGAACATGCCGATGTTCTTTGGTGTAGGTTTCTTTGGCACAATGTGTCTTCCAAGACTCTCCTCTCATCGATTCTCCTCGCCCGACCTCCCGTGAAGGCCGATGCGAATGCTCCCTTGCCCTGTCATGCTGAGGGACTACGGGGATTGTTTTCTACCCCCCTTTCTGGGCATCGTTCTTGGCCGCTGGAATCGGCGTGTCCTCCAATGGGAACGGTGGCTGCATGACGTTGTTTTGCATTATGAAATTGACAGCCGATTGCAGGTTTCCCAATTTGTTTGTCATCTCCTTTATCTCACCATCCCTCTTCAGGCATCTATCTTTCTATACCTGGAGATTGCTTTCGTTGTAATACCCACACTGACATGCTTTCTTCGGTACGTCTCTCTCCTGGCCGACGTCTTTTTCTCTGAGATTCGTACTCCGAGGTTCTTTGTTACAGTTATCCTCCTCTACGTTAGGTTTAGCATTTTTACCACTCTCACTAGGGATGTCGCCCCTAATCTTTTCTTTCTGCCTATCGTTGGCTATCTATTCTTCCTATGTTTTCCACAGACGGCGCCAAATTGTGGGTGTTGATTTTTAACCACACAACCAAACAGGGAAACTCAGCAGGAGAGCACCGGCATAATAGATTATGCCCGAACAACCTGTTATAGAAAGATAAGAATCTGGCGGTGGTTTGTCCACCCGAGGGCACTCCGACGATCAAGTCAGTAATTATCTCTCAAAGATAGCCAATAGTACTTAACTCACTAGACAGAGCCTAAAAAACATACCTTAGACCCACGAGGGTGCCTTACTCTTATAGCCAGCACTAACCTAATCCCTGTACAAGTCTAGCTTCAATGGACTTTGGTTCAATACTCATCTTGAACTCCCAACCAGATAAAGATAAACTCCTTAACAGCTTTATCTTTATCTATACTAAGGTTCTCCCTAATTCTAGGACTCTTATCCCTTATCCATTCATCTTAGATTCTGGTATCTCAGCAAATAACCTTGGCCTAGCCGAGATCACTTTGGCGCCATGACCAAGACACGTGGCACCTCAGCTGACACTTCGATGTCACCTTGGCCATGTGTTGTCATTCACAAAATATGTCCCCACAGGTTTCAATGAGGGTGACAGTGAGATATTGAAGCATGCTTCGCGAATCCGCACATTCAAGCTTAAGGATTCGCATATGCCTGATGGCTGCGACAATGACAACAAAGATGATTATTATATGTATAATGTGCATTATGATTACGTTGACAATAATTGAAACTTCTCTGACTAAGGGGGATTTCATTTCTTAGTTTGCTTTTCCGGTGTAAAAAATTATCTTTTGTTCTTATGTAATGGATGATATATGTTACCCAATATGAACCTAGCATTAGAATGTGAAGGGTTTTTTGCTTTCGTTATTTTTGATTTTTAACAGTTAATTATTAGTAATTTATGCTGTTTTGGTTTTAATTAGTAATATATGGCGTTGGTGGAGAAGCAGGTGTGTGCTATGCTTAAGAGATTGTTAATTGAAGATGTTTTATTTACTTGCGATTGGTATTTTAGACTTTATTGTTCTAATAATTTTTTGGATATTTTTGTGTTAAATTTGTTCTTAAATGTTTTTAAAAATTTGTTCTATATGGTTGTTGTGCATGTGTTTGAGTTTCTAGATTTAATTTTATTAATTTTGAGAAATGATTTTAAGGTCCACAGGTAAAAGAGGTAATATTTTGTTATGATAAAATACAAATACACTCTTTGAGTTTTGTGTTTAAATGCGAATTACTCTGCAGTTTTAAAAATTATAAATATTCCCCATTAGGATTTTTTTATGGAAAATTATACATTTTTGTTGTAGATGTTTGGTAGAATTTTTCATTTTCTCAGTAGGCTACCGCTAATGCCACGCAGCAACTTTATGCTGGCATGCAAGTCATATGTATTTTGACAATCTTACACTTTAGTATAGTCATACTTGTGCCAACTCTACTCACACATGTTAATGCCAAATCACTTTTTGTATGAATATTTTGTATGAAGAGTATTTTCTATAAATATAACAGTTTCTCTCCCTCTAATTTTTTTGTTATAATTCTGCATTCTCCCTCTAAACTATAGTACCAACAACCATGCCCAATTTTATCAGATCACGCCGGGTGTGCCTTGGCACTGATTTGGTTACCGTCGTGGTGGCCTTGCTATTGTTCATGGGGTTTGTTAACTAGTGCCCTTAAGACACTTATTAACAAAATCCTTAAAAAGAAAATTGGGAACAACTAATTGTAGCAAAATTAAACCCTGTGCATCAAACAACTACACCCACATTAGTCCATCAAACAAACACGCCCTCAGTTCAGGAGTTGTATGACTGTCATCAATGTATATAGAAAGGGGAAAAAACACAAATTATATATAGAAATCACATTCAAAATAATGCCACAATAACATTGATGAAGTTATGTTGTCAAATGCAACCCCTCATCCTCGAATGTTTTGATATGAGAAGCAAGCTTCAAAATCTCATCATCACCGAGGTCAAAACCTTTGCAGTTCCTTACATCAAAATATACAAGTTTTTTGTAGCCCTTCAAAATCAACAATAGACTCTCTCGATCAATGTTTGAATACCTTAACCCCAAATACTCTATGTTTAGAACTGAGGTGACAATAGATGTGGCTTCATCTTTGTTAATATCAGCATGAAAAGTAGAGAAACCAGCAAAGTTTTTGCAGTGAATGCTGATTTGGGTAAGAATTTCTTCCATTTTAAAGGTGGTTCCAAACCGTAAAAACTCCAAATATTTCCAATTGCCCATGAGTTTTGGGACCCTGGACACAACATCATGATCTATATCAGCTGGCAGCTCTAATACAATTAAGTTAAGACACCTCGTGAGTCAAAAAAGATAGCAAGGGTTACCAACCACTAATACAAAGTAATCAAACACCTTAATATAAAACAACAGAGAAAATTAAACCAAAAGGGTTGGTTTGATTAGTGAAAAATATGTTGTGAAGTTAAAAATATTTATAAAATAAAAAAAGAAACTTTATTTTTTAATACAAAAATTTTTTAAGATGAAATTTATGTGAAATTTTTAGCAGTTGACAACTTTTACCAAAATATATATTTGTTAAAAAATAAAAAAAAAAAATAAAAAAAAAACTTTACAAGAAATTGAAAGTAAGTTACTTGCAAAAGTGGATTGTACAAAAAAAAAATTTAATCTTGTATTTTCCCCTACTTTCATGCTAAAAAAATGTAGTAACATTTTTTTTTTCTTACTTGCATTTTCCATCACTTCTATTTTCACAAGACTCAGCAAAGAGTCAAATTTTAATTCTACCTTAAGCCAATTTGTAAAGTAGGAAATAAAAATATTCATTTTTTTGTCAAATGCTAACTAGTGCCATGGTATACTTATTTGTTTTGGAATTGGGTAAAAAGTACATTAAAAATAATAATTAGTTTTTTTTTTTAAAAAAAGAAGTTGTTAAATCCATAAAATGTGTTTTGAGTTTGGAAAAAAAAAATGTGACCTTTTTTCTTTGAACTTTTTGTTCAACATTGGGCATGAAGAACTCATTGATCTGCAATGTAAAACAGTACTTCATCACAGAAGCCAGAGCCGGGAAACAATACGTACACAGTGGATGTAGTCACTACGCTTAACTAAAGTCTTGACGATTGTTGTGAAAGAGAATTTTCCCTTCACTTGATAGTCATCGATTAATCTTGCTAAGAAAAATAAAGAAGTGCAATCATCAAGTGAGATTTCAAGAAAATCAAGTTTTCTCCAGCAAAGAGGACTCCTCGTGGCTTTGTACCATGACTTGCACACAGATGGAACATCAATTAGCAGTGATTCTATTCCCACTCTGCCTAACACATTCACCAAGCAATCCATATTCAATTCCTTCCATTTTTCTCCTTCCATCTGCACAAATTGAAGATGAAGGGTAAGCATAAATGATAAATAAAAAGAAAAGAAAATTGCATTTAGTGTAAATAACTCAAAACAGTTGTAGTTTTATGGATGTACAAATCAAAACAAGTGAGAGTTGTTTCTCATGCCACAACTTTCACTTGCACCAAACACAACTTCTTGCAACTTTATGAAAGTTATAATTATGTTGTTCTTATTTAAGTACACCTTTTTTTAAGAAAATATATATTTTTAAAGAACACCATGTAGCCAGCGAAGGTTTCAAATGAAAATTTGTTCCATGTTACTAGAAAATGCTAGGCTTTAAAAAAAATAAATAAATAGAAAACTGCTAAGAAAATGAAAGTTTGTTTAAACTCTGAAATCATGCGTTCATGCAGAAGATAAAGATTCATATATCGAGATTATACCAATATTCACACGAACAGATATGGATACATTCATATATTGAGTAAAAATAAAAGCAATACAACATTTGAAGCCAATTTTTTTAAACTCTGAAATCATGCAATTGATGCAGAAGGGAAAGACAAAGCTTGTTACAGCATTAATTCCAAAAGGAGAGACAGAGCCTTCTTCTCTCTGATTTTGATCACTCTACTGAAACAAATGTATGTACATATATATATATACATACAAGATACACGTCTATAGAAGGTGGAAATGGAAATGGAAAATGAAGAGTATTATTTGAAAGTTGAAAAGTCTAGAAAATAAGGATAAACTAACAATAAATCTTAGGGATGGCAATGGATAACCTATCATGTGGGTATCCATGGAGACCCAACCCAAATACATAGATTTTTTCCTTTTTTTCTTATCCATTGGGTAGGGTAAGTGATATTCTTTAAATATCCACAGGGGACGGGTTGGGGATGGGTACCCACTAATTTCCCCATATGTTTTTTTTTTTTTTTTTTTTTTTTTTAAGATTCACAACCAAAACAAAATATACATTCAATCTTTTTTCTTTTATTTATTTATTTATTTATTCAGGTTCACAACCATTTTTTTTTTTTTTTTAGGATCTGAATTCTTTCTTCTGTTGAGTTTCATTAGTGGAAACAATTTTTGAATCCATTAAGAACCATTGATAATGTCACCGACCCAAACCTTCCTATGGTTAGCATCGTAACACGGCCAGTAATCCGTGATTACCGAAACTTGCCTTAACAGTAAAGACAGTAATACAGAGTTATGGGCGGCAGGAAGCCAAACATTAATAAAAAGATATCCAACCAAATAAGCTTTGTGACAGTCTGATGCAAAGGGACTTTCATACATATTCACATTCAGAACCAAAACGGGTAATTTATACATACATATTCAATCATCCAGGATAGAGACCTAAATCTCCTATTAGAACATATGGGTACAGTACAACAGTCTATTACAAAAATAGAGACAAGAAAGGAATGATCTTAAACACTCCAAAAAGCCTTTAGCTTGAAAACTTTAGAACCTCTCAGTGAGGCACAGTGGTTGACTTAACAAAAAGGAGTTAAACCCAATGCCTCCTAGCTCCGATTCGAGTGCCTGGACACCTACATATATATATAAACAGTGAGCTAAAGCCCAGTGAATAACATATGCGTAAAGAGTTAAGACATTGAATGTCCTTTCAGTATTTGAAACAGTCAGTTATAACAGTATATCAGTCATAACCAGTAAACAATAGTGGTTCAACATGGAACCGACAGAGATCTCTGTAACAGTAGTAGTAAATAGTACCAGTAAGTAATTGCTATTGAATGGCCACGGAATACAGTTCGCAAATAGACAAAACATCATTCAGTAAGAAAAAATATCATTTCAGAAAGCAGTACAGTTGGTCTCATTAGGAAATATTCGTGATTGGAATATATCTTTAAACATTGTTACTCACAGGAGTTTTTGGGCTACAGATAGGCTAGTGAGCGTCCTCGGATGCCAACCCTACACAAGTTTATAGAATGAACAACACTAAGTGCATACTTGGGTTATCAATGGACTTAAGTCCACTAACTTTGATTTGGTGTGGTTCTACATTTCAATTCCTCATTAAGATGCCTTAAACTAGGTTTCTAGGATGAAATAAAGATGCAAAAAAATGTACTTTAAAACAACTTTTCAATTTTTTCCAAAAAACAGGGGTTCTCGCTCGAGCGTATCTTCTACGCCGACTGGACATGTAGATAAAGGATCTCCGCTCGAGCGTGACTTCTTTCGCTCAAGCGGACTACAAACTCAAGGTAAAAGTACTAGATGCATGCAATTCACGCTCGGCATGGTGCTCGACCTCTGCCTAGCGTGGACACAAAGTCCTCGCTTGAGCGGCATTCCGTCTGCTCTGAGCGGATTGTAAACACATGCAAAATACTGGAATACACGCATTTTCATGCTCGAGCGTTACTTCCACCCGCTTATCGAGCAACTGCATGAACTTAGAGTGTTACGCTCGAGCGTGAAGTTCCTCGCTCGAGCGAGGATCCAAAATCTGAAATTTCAAATTTGTCTCCAAGCATGAAACTCAACATTTAAAGCATCAATTCGATCCTTTGGGCTAAATTTTCTGGGAAACACTTTAAAATCAATATGACATGTTTCAAAGATCAATTTGCCAAAAGCAAAGCCCAAAGGTAGTTCAATTGAACCCATTTCCAAACCCCCCCAAAAAAAACTTCATAAGAACATGAATTACATGCAACATGCATGACTTTAATCAACTTCAAAGCCTTCTATACAAGAACAAATGAGTCAATCCTTCCAAAAAAAACATTGCTGATTCATGGACTAAAGCTAGAATATGGACATGCATGTGGAGGATTTCCGCATGAAATCACCTCAAAATAACAATGTGTACATGCATGCATGATTTAAGTTCATTCAATATTTGAACCAATTCGTAGACCTAATTCACCAAACTTCCATGAAACATGCAAGATACAACTTAAATACAAGTCAAGAGATGATTCATCCTACCTTAGGTCTTTAATTTCAGGTCTAGAAAGCATCAATTATGCCAATTCTCTTTCCAAAATCTTCAAGATTCCATGCTAAATTTAAGTGAACTCAAATTTCTTCTCTTCCAACTCTCAAGCTCTCTCATCACGTTTTGGTCTCTGTAGAAGTGGTGGAAGAAATGGTAATGATCAAATGTGGTATGAAATGAAGAGAGTGTTGGTCTAGAAACTAGGGCCACTAAGTGGCAATTTGTAATTAATGCAACTAATGCAATTCAATATTATTTTAATCTAATTTAATCATTTCCCAATCAAATTTCAAATAAATCTACCAATTAAAACACATAAATTCTACATTAGCAATTTAAAACACTAACAGTTTCGGGTTCGGGCCGCCGATAAGGCTTTAATTTTTGCAGTTCTTTTAAAACAAATAAACCATGAACAGATTTCAATTAAACGTCAAACAGATAGAAATGTGTTTAAACTAATACCACTTCAATCAATCAGTTCAGAATGTCAGTCCAAATCATTACTTAATCATTTCCATCATAGTTTAAGCAGTAATCAGTGGTATGATCAGTAAACAGTGTGAGGAGGGTTGTCACAAAAAAGCTTTAGGACAAGTGAGTACCAATTATTCAGGTTGTTTGACAAGCAAATCAGCAAAGTATTGTTAGCCTGTTTAAAAAAAGCAGTTGAAAACAAAAGCCAAAAGTAAATATCAAGGGACGTTCAAGGAGCGGCACAAGCTAGTGCCTTGATATTGATCCTTACAAACATATCCATTACAGACAAACACAACGGAGAGTTTCTAGAACGAGTCTAGGTTGACAATCCCAAGCAAACACATTATATAATACACTTTAGTCAGAGACGTTTCCATCATTGAAAGTCGTCTTCACGATACGAAGGTGGTAGTAGTCATTCATAATAACCATACAACTCGAACCCTTATGCTCGAAGTTAGATATGAG